GCCCATTTCCTCTTGTTTCACGTTTACCAACGTTATTCACCCATTCAGAGCTCTTTACTGAGCACCTACTGTGTGCTTGACACTGCTAGAGACACAGCAGTGACTGAGGAGGAGGGATGCCTCCACATCAAGTGCATAGTCCAGTCTGGGAGCAACTACTTTAAGAGCTCACTTTGAACAGGGGACAGTCGTGCTGGGGGAGGAGGATGAGAAACCAGAGGGCACTGCAAGTGCAAAGGCCCTGAGGTAGGGATGGGCTCCCTGCGTAAGGAGCTCACAGGTCAGTGACTGGACCATGGTGAGCAAGGTGAGGGCAACCTGAGAAGAGGGAGCAGGGCTTTGATTTTATCCCAGTTGCAGTGGGAAGGCCCTGTGGTGGCGGTAGGGGGAGGGTACCAAGGTGGTAACTGCCCTCCACCTTTGAAATACATGGATTGCTCTTTGTTTTTTTCAAATGCTCTTGTATGGGAAGCAGCCGAATAGCACAGGGAGATCAGCTCCGTGCTTTGTGACCACCTAGAGGGGCGGGATAGGGAGGGTGGGAGGGAGGGAGACGCAAGAGGGAAGAGATATGGGAACATATGTATATGTATAACTGATTCACTTTGTTATGAAGCAGAAAGTACACACCATTGTAAAACAATTATACTCCCATAAAGATGTAAAAAAAATAAAAAAGAATCCGCCTGCCAATGCGGAGGACACGGGTTCGATCACTGGTCCGGGAAGATTCCACGTGCTGCGAAGCAACTAAGCCCATGCGCCACAAAAAAAAAAAAAAAAAAAAAAAAAAAAAAAAAGAATTCAGAGGCTGGAGAGGGAACTCCAGGTATGAACCGTCGCACAAGCAGCAGGAGAGGGCAGCTGGCTTCCGAGAAGGCAGAGCTGTCAGGAGTGAGGGTTCCTGGAGGAAAGTAGCTGAAGTGGAGCTCAGAGAAGCCAGCCAGGGCCAGCTTAGAGAGGGCCCCAAGTGCCAGGCTGAGGGCTGAGGCCTGTTCCTGAAGGCACCAGGGAGCCATTGAGGGTTTCAGGCAGAGGAAGCAGGAGGTCAGACCTTTCCTGAGTGGCGACCATCGTGAAGAATGACGCGTGGGGGAGACACGAGGTGGGAAGGTGCTGCTTCCTTGTCTACCTGTGGAGGAGATGGAATGGGAGTCAGGGGAGGGGGGGAGTTGGGAGGGAGATGTTTGGAAGCTGCCTTCTGTCTTTGTGGCTCTTTGTGCCATGTCTGTTAGCTCTCTGCTTGGCGGAAATGTTGTAGCTGTGTCCCTATTACGGAGGCAAGTGTTTTACTGGGCATCTTACTTATTCCCGGGGGTCTCTACACAGCAGGCCCTGCTGGCTTCTGGCCTCACAGGCAGCATCCTGGGGAGAGTGGGATGCAGCTGGCCTCAGGGGGCTATGACAATTTCACAGTCCCCTGAAAAGTTGGCGTGGCCCTGGCAGGGCAGGGCAGGGCCCACTCCTCAGCAGAGCCTGCCTCCTCCATGGCCCACAAGCCCTGCATTCTGCCCTTTCTGTTCCTGATGAGTCGCAACGTGGGGATTGGGAGCCAGACACCAGAGGGGAGCCCGTTTGCAGGTGGGGGGATTCTGCCACACCACCGTAACGAGGAAGAAGACATCCCAGGCCACCTGGTCACCGTGGGGGTCCCACCTGCTTGGGAGGGGGCTGCGGGGGACCAGGCCTCAGGTGAGGCCACCAGGAGGGCTTGTGAGTGGGAATCCAGGTTGGGAACCACCCAGAAGGTCAAGCAGCTGCCAAGAGGTGCCTGTGCTGTAGGGCAAGGCTGGGGCACACCCAGCTGGAAGCCCTTCCTCCCTAAGAGGAGCAAACTGTGTGCAGCTGTGTCCCTGTGTGGAAGGGCAGAGGCTTCCTAGGAGAAAACAGTGAAAGGTGCACCACAGTGGAAGGCTACCAGGGAGGGCGGGGCTGGGGCATCTCGAGAGCAGGCCTGGCCTCCTTGCTGGCTATCTGCTGGGTGCGCTCCAGACATGCCTCTTCTAGCTCCTCAGTAGTCCCGGAGGCCCAGTTGGTCTCTGAGGCCAGAGTCAGGGTGCCCAGCCCAATTGACAGGAGCTCAGAAGACAGTGCTTCCCCAGCTGGGCCCTCGCTCAGCAGCCTGGCATCCCCTGGTTCTGACTGCCCGGCCCTCACCCCCAGCAGGAGGTGGGCCTCTGCCTCGCAGAGTCCAGCGCCTGGTGCTGGGGATCCTAGGGTTCTGGCGCCCTCCTGTCTCTCGAATTAGGAGTCAGGGTCAGACCTGTCCCAGCATCCAAGAAGGACACAAGACCCCTTACCCGAGATGAGAGTGGCTGCCGTCGGCCCCAGGGGTGGGACCAGGAGAACAGGAGGATCCTGGGCCCCGATGGGTAGGGTCTGGGCCAGGAACTGAGAAGAGCCCTGCATCTCCTTCCTCGCTTGGGAACCAGCCTCAGCTTCCTCAACTCTCAGGAGGGGCTGACACCCCTCCTTCTGGCCTCAAAGGGCTGTTGGGAGCATAAAATGAGGTAATTCTTTGAACTCAGCCCTGAATTCCTTCCAAATAACAATCTATCCTGCCACTGTCCCTGGATGCCCTAGGCATAGCTGGGAGCTGGACTCCATTTCAGCTCCCTGAGGCCACCCCTCCTTGACAAGAACCTGTCCCCTCCCAGGTCCCAGAGAGCAGGTTCAAGCTCTCTCTGTTTTCATCTTCCCAAACATCAGGGCTCTTTTCACCCTCTCTGCCCCGCCCCGGCCCCCCACTCGAAGCATGACCTGGGAGTCAGAGTTAAAGGGAGTAAAGTGAAGCTGGCGGGCCATTCACTCCTGTCTCTCTCCCCTCTCTCCTCTCCTGCCCGCCCTCCCCCGACTCAACCCCAGATGCAGCAGGACCTCCCTGTGTCACTGACTTCTTCCTTTCTACGCCACGACTTTCAGCCAAACTCCATGAGCCAAACTGGCGAGGCTCTGCTTGTGAGAGATAAAGCGATACTGTGGAGACAAAAAAATCCTCTCTCTTAAGAAAAAGTAGTTTTTAGGGCTGTTGTTTCACTGTGGACCAAAAAGTCTAGTTTGACCCTCAAAAGTGGGCAAGGACCTCCGTGTTTAGGGGGTGTGCACCCGGTCACCGTGACCTCATGGGAGGCTGCGGGGCGATATGACTTAGCAGCAGTGACTCATACAGTTTTCCTGTTTTCACCAACATCATTCCATCATGCGTGGCGGAAGTCTAGTCCTCACAAAGCTGTGTGACATGGGGACTGTCGTTCTTGTTGTACAGAAGGGAAGGCCCAGCAGGGGTGAGTTGGCAGAGCCTCCCAGGGCTCCACCTTGTCAGCTGCAGGTGTCACCTTGTCTGGTAGGTGGCTCTCAGTGCCAGCGTCCACCCTCTCCAGACTCATTCACCGAGTCGCAGTGACCATCCCGTAGGGCTATCAGTCGCCCCTTCCCTGCAGGAAAGCCAGGTCAGGGCAGAGAAACAAATTATAATTGGAAGGTAGATTTGTGGGCAGGAGGCTTCCGACAGGGACCGCACTTAGGGCTGGCTGGTGGCCTCCCTGGACCCCGCCGTGCACATTAGCTCTGCCTTCCCATTGGTGCCGTCTCAACACACAGCAACAGTGACAGGAGCCACCAGGCTCCTTGTCTAGCATGCCCCATGAGCCTGCCTGTCCCATCCATCACGAATTGATTTTCCTTGCTAACTCTCAAATTTCCCAAAGGGTTTTCCTACTGTTTATAGGTAGCAATTACCATTGCTCAGATAGAGATTCTAAAAGCTGGGATTCAGGGGGAGTATGGCACTGGCCTGAGATGACAGAGTGGGCTCTGGGAGGCATGCTTGGCGGGGTCTGCCCTCACAAAGTGTAGGTCAGCAGCCTCTGGGCTCGGTCTGCATACAGTGAGGGGTTGCATGGCCAGTTCGTGCCTCTCCACCGAGTGATGGTATGAGTGGGTCGGTTCTTTTGACAAGTGTGTCCTGAGTATCTGCTGTGTGCTGCTGCGTCCTGGGTGCTGGAGACATGCAGGGAAAATACAGGTGGCCATGCAACTCACAGTCCCGTTGGGGACACAGAGAGCTTAGGAAGAAATGGACCCTGGTGCTCGCTGGGAAGCAGATCAGACCTGGGGGCCCTTCCAGGAGGAAGCAGCCACAAGGCTGGGCCTCCAGAAGAGTAGGGTTTTGTCAGGAAGCGAACGAATGAAGTGGGTCGCAATGAGGCGGCCGTTTCAGGTAAGATCCCGAGAGCGTGTGAGGGCGGGAAGGAAGGGTTAACCTGACCAGTGTTTCCAGAAAGTCATGCTGGCTGTGCTGTGGGGAAGGAAGGGTTCCTCACCTTTCTTGTGCAGTGGACCCCTTTGACATCTGGTGAGGCCCCTGGGCACCTGCACCAATAATGTTTGTAAATGTAAAGTATCAAATACATGATAATAAAAGAGTGAAGAAATACAAATGAAGCCAATAGTATGAGCCGCGGTTATCAAAACAGAACACAATTTTGTGATGTAGCAATATCTGTTCTTAATTAAGACATTAAAAATTAGATCTGTTGGTGTGTCTAGAATGACCCCCCTTTCCAAGTTGTGATGAGTGTAGACGACATTTCACAACCACCAGCAGCAACTGAGGAGTGATTTCTGCCAGTGACAGTCCCGGCATTGCCCCTGCCACTGGGGTTTGTGGCCTGCGTTCACCCTGAAGGAAAGGCCATGTTGCATTTACAGTGGTCAGTGTCCCCATCCCAGTGTAGGCTCCAGGTGGAGAATCCCTGAGTTGGTGGGAGGGGCTGCTGAGGACGGAGTGGCAATATCCTGGCAGGGGTTAGAGAGAAAGGAAGGGATGGATTCAGAGTTGGTGGTCATGCCTGGGTATAAAGTGTGGCAAAGGGGAAGGAGTGGGGCTGGCTCCCAGGGTTCTGGCCCGGGGGCCTAGCTGGGTGGTGATGCCATTTGCAAAGCCAGAGCTGGTCCTTGGGCCTGTGGTTTCTGCTGACACGTCCCTGATTGTCTTTCAGGTCAATGAAATTTATCACGATGAGTCCTTGGGGGCCCACATCAATGTTGTCCTGGTGCGGATAATCCTGCTGAGCTACGGGAAGGTGAGTGGGCACTGCAGGCTGGTGCCTTCCAGACACACCAGAGCCCCCGCCTCTGTGGGATGAATGGGGCCCTCCAGTGAGGTACAGGCCTCCTATAAAAGCCTTTGTGTTGGCCAAAACCACCCTACCTCTCCCTGGCTGCCCTGTGGTTCCTACAAGAAACAAGGAGCTTGTGAGCCATGCCTACTCTGCTTTCAGCCTCACCCCTTTTAAAATTTAGGTTTTTTTTTTTTTTTTAAGAAGAAAAATTTTATTTCAAACAGGTCCAGTGGTATGTGCGCTACAGCAAAGGCTGGTTGTAGCAGTTTCCTTTCAAACCTGTGCTGATGTATAAATTAGACATTATTTGGGAATGATTAATTTTTGGTAAAATGTAGATTCAATCCAACATTATGCCAATTTTTACATTTATTGTAGACCCTATTTTAGTACTAGAGGTTAAATTTTCATCACCAAAAAATGAGGATAACCTTACAGCTACTCCTAAGGTAATGAGCTATGCAATTAATTCCTCACTATTGCTTTGAAAATTTACCCCTAGGTTGTTAAGAGAAATTCTAGCTCCAACCAAATCTATTATTTAATTCTTCAGTCGTCACCTACTGTTGGCTTGATTGTCACTCCTCTTCTCATTTGACCCCAACCAATTGAACGCCAGTGTTTCTCAACTCTTTGGCTAAGGGCAATTTTTCCTCCTATTTCTGTGCACACAGGATTAGTCAAAACGATTTTGTCCAAATCAGCCTTGACTGCACTAACTCTTCCTCCTGTCGACAGGGATCCTATGTTCACCATAAGCACTTCATTCTTAGACAGCTTTTGCACTTTTGCTGCTTTCTTGTCTCCTTCAGTGCGTACACCTAGAAGCCATCTAAGCAGGAAATAGGAAATTTCCAATTCTGTGAGGATTTCAGGTAAAGCTCAGCTGCGCCATTCTGTCAGCCCGGCACAAAGTGGGGTCAGTTTTTCTTCCAACTCCAATAAGACCTCCTGGAGCAGCATACTGAAGATCATTATGCTCTGCGAAAAGTGATACAATTTTGGAAAAGATGGGTTTACACATGAGTTTTCCTTCACTATCTTTGGAAACAATACCAGGCCTGACTTCTATCTCCTGGCCCACCTTTAATACTCATTTTAGAATACTACCACCAGCTACACCCCCCTTAAGGTCATCAACCTCACAGCCAGGTTTGTTGACATCAAAGGATCTAAGTAAAGTAAAGTAGTCTCTTTACTTTAAAAAGAGAAGTGAAGTAAAGTCTCTTGGGGGTACTGGAATTTTCTTTACTAGGTACTCGCAGACAACTTCAATATTGTATTTTCGCTGAGTAGAAATTGGAATAATAGGAGCTCCTTCTGCTACTGTACCTTGTACAAATGCAAGGATCTGTTCATACTGTTCTTCAGCCTGGCTTTCTTTTACCAAATCAATTTTGTAGAATCGAAATATGCTTCAGTTTCATGATTTCAGTAGCAGCCAGGTGTTCAGCAGTCTGAGGCTGAGGACAAGACTCGTTACCAACTATCAACAGAAGAGCTGCATCCATCACTGAGGCACCATTCACCCTAGTAGCCATCAACATATCGTGGCCAGGACAGTCAACAAAGGAAACACGTCTGACTAATTTGAAGTCCCCTTTGGTCCCTGGAATGTCTGTAGGAAACTCATCAGGTGTACACTTCCACAGGATCTATAACATTCTGGCCGAGGACAACTTGGGTCATCAGGTTTATATATCTTAGCATTAGCATAGCCAAGTTTGACTGTAATATTTCTTTCTAGTTCATCTTTGAACCTGACAATGTGAACTCCAGAAATAGCTCTTACAACCCTAGATTTCCCATGAGCTACATGACCAATTGTACCTATATTAATTGTGCACTGGCTGCTGATAACTTCATGTGAAAGTGGCATCAACTTGGTAACATCCAATGTGTTGAGATCTTGCCGAAAAATGTGCGGCTGCCCTAAAGTCACACCAGCCTCACGCCCCCCACCCCCCACCCCGCCCTGCTATCTTGCCTGGAGGCTAAACTTTAGGTTTTGTTATTATTCAACTTTGGTGAGACCAACAGATCAGGAGGTGACTGCCATGTTTTTTTTTGTTTGTTTGTTTGTTTGTGGTACGCGGGCCTCTCACTGTTGTGGCCTCTCCCGTTGCGGAGCACAGGCTCTGGACGCGCAGGCTCAGCGACCATGGCTCACGGGCCCAGCCGCTCCGCGGCATGTGGGATCTTACCGGCCCGGGTCCCGAACCCGTGTCCCCTGCATCGGCAGGCGGACTCACAACCACTGCGCCACCAGGGAAGCCCGCCTGCCATGGTTTTTTTACCCACAGTTTCTGGCCATGCAGGGCCGCACCGGAAACACCGTGGTTGGTCAGGAGGCCTAAGGAAGGTGAAGGAAACTGGGTGAGCACCTTTATTGTGGTTTCCTCAGGAAGGACCAGGTAAGGCGGGGTAAGCAGGCTTAGGATTGGCCAGTGTGAATAATTTTCAGCAGGCTCAGGAGCATTGGGGCTGCGCCTAGTTGTTTGGTACCTGGCCCTAGTGATTTGCACAGGGGATAGTGGGCTGGAGTGTGAGAGCCCAATGAAGGAGGTGGCTGGGGGTGTGGACTCTGAATTGGTTGGTTTGCATTTGAAGAGCGTATGATCCAGAATGAGTTGTTTACTGTCTCTAGGAATTGGCTGACCCTGGGAGGAGCAGTTCCTCCCAGGTCAGCAAGGCCCTGGATGTCAAAGCATCAGAAACAACCTGTGTCCTCCTCTTCTCATGCCACGTAGCTGCTGTTCTAACTGAGCAGTCTTGCCCTTCTTACTTCCCTTTGTTGTGAAACTTGGAACCGTCTTTCCTAGCAGCATGCACGGGTCTATGCACCAGGATTAGAAAGCCCCCAGGCACAAAGACCTGAGATGGAAAAGTAAGGGGGTGCCTGAAAGGAGAGCTGGTGAGGAAGGAAGGAGCCCCATGGTGCTGGCCAGTGTGGACTGAGCAAGTGCCTATGCCAGGCAGCTTGGGAGCAATTTACATGAAATTATCTCACTTCGTCCAAGGACAGATGGGGAAATGGAGCTATGAGGATTCCACTTCACAGATAAGGACACTGAGGTTTAAGGCAGTTCAGTGGCATGAGTAGCCAGTGGTATTTGGCTCCTTAGGAGTCCAGCTTCTCACCCTGGTAGCCAAATTCTGGAGTCTGTGGTCTGACCCCACGCAGTATGAAGAAAGTCAAGTCATAATAAGATGAGGCACATAAAGCATAGTAAATTATGCCAAGGGTTCTGCCTGCTGACACAGGGGACACGGGTTCGTGCCCCGGTCCGGGAAGATCCCACATGCTGCGGAGCGGCTGGGCCCGTGAGCCATGGCTGCTGAGCCTGCGCATCCGGAGCCTGTGCTCTGCAACGGGAGAGGCCACAACAGTGAGAGGCGCGCGTACCGCAAAAAAAAAAAAAAAAAAAGAAAGTTGTGAATTATGCGAAGGGTTAACTCCTCTACTCAAAGAGAGAGAATCTCAGTCTCATAAAATAAAATCGAACTGCACACAATGTACAAGGCCTGCAGTACAGAAATGACAATGAAGGACTTTATGGCTGGTCAAATTCCAGGAACAGTGGACCTTGAGCCCACTCTTCCTACCCTGGGAAGTGTGTCGCTCTAAAGTGATGGAAGCGACCACAGTGAGGATAGCAGTCATGGTCCTTCATGCCCCATGGAGAACATAAAGTATACCAACGCGGACTGTCAGATCAAGGGAGAAATTTGCAAAAACCTTACTGCAGGAGTCTTTCATACCCTTTTCAAGACCTTTAACAGATCACATTTTAAAAGGCATAGGAGTTTCCCCTACCTCCAGTATCCTTGTTGCTTAAAAAAAAAAAAAGCCTTCTCAGTTCAAGCTTTCTTTAATAAGTTATTCAGTCATTTATAGCCAATAACAAATTTTCATGATTTTTAAGAGAAAGTATCCCTGCATTGATATCTTCTGTCTAGAGCTGCACAGTCCAGTCCAGTCCAGCAGGCACTAGACACATGTGGCTACTGAGCACTTGAAATGTACTTAGTCCAAACTGAGATGTTCTGTAAGTATAAAACGTATGCCTGGTTTCAAAGACTTAGTACAAAAAAAAAAGAAAAAAAAGGAGAGATGTAAAATACTTTCTTAATAATTTGATATTAATGAAATAATGTTTTGGATATATTGGAGTAAATAAAATATTTTATTAAGTTAAAAAAAAGGCATAGGAGTTTCAAATAATATAGTGGATGAAGTTAAATTAGCAGTTATATCATTTTTTCCCCTTGCCCTATGGAAAAATGTGCCTTCTTTTTGAGGAATCATAGAACACTTAAAAATTACAGAAGTACTTTAGGTCATAAAGAAAATTTTAGTGAGTTTTATTTATTTTTTATTTTATTTTTTAATTAATTACTTTTTTTTTTGCGGTACACACGGACCTCTCACTGTTGTGGCCTCTCCCGTTGCGGAGCACAGGCTCCGGACGCGCAGGCTCAGCGGCCATGGCTCACGGGCCCAGCCGCTCCGCGGCATGTGGGATCTTCCCGGACCGGGGCACGAACCCGTGTCCCCTGCATCGGCAGGCGGACCCTCAACCACTGCGCCACCAGGGAAGCCCTTAGTGAATTTTATACAGCAAAAATAGTTTGGGCTATTCTCTGACTCGGTGCTCTAAAACTAGGTGGAGGGAAGGGATATATAAAAAGAATAAACCCAGTCTCTTTGAAAAAAAAAAAAAATCTCCTAGGAAGAATAATATTAGACCCTCAGTTGCAGACTATTGGGAAAACTAATGAAAACAAGAGTACTACAGATCAAAACCTGTGGGGTGTGGCCAAAGCTGTAATCATAGGCAGGTGCTTTCCAAGATCTCACAGAGCGAATGAAAACAAGTTAACCCTGTATTCAGCTCGGTAAGTTAGAACAGATGTTAACAACCACCCAAAACCAAAAACCTAAAGAAAGTAAAAATAAG